CCAAAAAAAAAGTAATATTCCATTGCTATCTTTTTCTCTCTTTTTTTTCCTTTAGATTTACTTCATTGTCATCTATCATATAAAAAATAGTAGTTTGTTGTACAAAACATACCACATTTAGAGTCCGAAGAAGGATTACACTCCAAAGAGATGTGATGTAATCAGCGTACTTTAATACAATTTCACAACTATCATTGATTATGTACTTTAAAAAAATTGGAAGATAAGAAATTACAAAGTTTGGTGTGATGTATCTACTTTATCTCCAAAACGAAAAAGTAAACAAGTACTTATCGCAATAATCTTCAAATATTACACCAAATTTTGGAATCACCAAAATCTATGGCCAAAGTTGTGGTCCACACGCTATACACAAGTTACATTAGTTGTGAAAATGAGATTTTGACGCTACAAACACTCATTTATTAATAGGTCTCGTCTCGAGGTTCCGTAAAAATTTACCCGCATCATTGAGTATTTGTACCAAACCAATAGATACATGACATGTGTCTTTCACATAGACTTCAAACATTTAACCATGTTAAATTATATGCATTCTCATCTAATTAAATTAATTAATCATAGTGAGTTAATATAGTTTGGTGTAAACACCCGGTGTGGGTAAGTATTTACTCTCGAGGTCCCTTTCACTCCTCCTTCCCAGACCTTCTTCTCACCTAAACCATTTTTACTCCTTGTTCACTTTTACTTGACACGTTTTGAATTTTCACGCCCTTAAGAAATAATAAATGAAGTGCATAATTTACCATGATACCTATATTAATTGATGCATATTTTATTGAATTTGAGAAACTGATTTGAAATGAGTAATAAATATTGTGGGTATAACAAGAGAAAAAAATTGTCTTCTCTTGATATGCGTAAAGTGATAAGTAAAAATAAAAATCAACTTTTAATATACATGCCAAGTAAAAGTGAAAGGAGGAAGTATATACCAAACAAACATGCATTGATTAGTTAATGTTTGTAAATAACTACGTACAATAGAAAACAAGTGTGTAACCACCGAAAGGTGTAGTGGTTGCTTAGGATCGCATCATTTGCATGGTATGGCGTTTATTGAAATGCGAAAAATGACATTGTATAACCGTTGTAAAAAGTAATAGTCGAAAAATATAAAAAAATTATATATTATATATATAAAAATTATACAAATTTTATACAATTTTCCGACTATCAAATGTAAATAGTTTCTGACGTGGGTTAAAAGTGATAATACCCCTAAATTATGCTCCCTTCGGTCCACAATAAGTGACTATTTTACCTTTGGCACACACTTTAAGGAAAGACGAACTCTTAGAGAAAAAAAGATGTATTCACTAAATTAACCTTAATTAATTGTTACCTTGACATATTGGAATATGTTAATAAGGGCAATTTTTTTAAAAAATAAAATTAATTACTTCTTGATTATGTAAATGAACAATTATTTTAGACCAAAATAAAAAGGTAAACTGGTCACTTATTATGGACCGGAGCGAGTAGCTAACTGTTAGCTCAATGGAATAAATTTCATCATCCCAAAGTAGTTGAATAAAGTAAAATTGGTTTATTGGAGACTCGGTTAATGAGGTTACGAGAGACATACAACAACAACAACAACAACAACAACAACAACAACAACAAAAAACCAGTAGAATCTCACCAGTGGGGTATAGAGAGGATAGAGTATACGCATACCTTACCCCTACACCGGAGGAATAAAAAGGTTATTTCCGGGAGACCCTCAGCTCAGACACGAGAGATATACAACGACAATAAATCAAGTACAATCCTACACGTGGGTTCTAAGAAAGAGAAATTATTTCCGATAGACTCTCGGCTCAAGAACATTGAAAATGACACAATAAATAAACAGTGACAATGGCAAAGAAATAAGATAACAGAAACAAATAGCACATCATGTAATGGCAAAGAAATTAGAAATACGAAGTTACAAGAGAAGTGCGAAAACTACAATCAATAATGCCACATCGTCTAACAACAAGAAACTCGAAATAGGAGAATATAAGACTAGTACTGATATTATTAGTATGACTAGAAGAGACTCTTGATTACCTATCAACCCATAACCCTAATTCTCGACCTCCAAACCTTCCTATCGAGAGACATAAGTTAAAGAAATAAAAAGCTTATTTGTGCAAATGTTTCTGGGATTTATCGATCCTTAGTCAAAGATTTTTGTATCAGCTCGTGGAGATATGAAAAGCCTTTTAAGTAGGGAATATTTTATCCTTTTAATAGACGTACACTACTCACATTTGACTTAGTTTAGTTACCTAATGATTAAACCAACAAAAGAAAAAGGTAAAATAGCACGGGCTAGTCAGTTTTAGGACTGGTTCTTAAAAAAATAGCGAGCGTTTTAAAATCATTGAAAAATAGCAACCATTTTACTGCAATATGGAAAGTTTCAACATAGTATACTAGAGATTGATGCACATGTGTATCACTATTAGATACACATCATTTTCCCACGAAAAATTCCCACAGAAAAATTTTCAGTAGCAATTCCCACCGAAATACAGTGGGAAAATTAAAATTCCTTTTCCTAGAAAAATAATAACATTTGCCATTGAATATCCGTGGGAATGATTTGGCGCAAAAATGTGCGGGATTTAGTTCCCTCTGATTATGTGGAAAAAGTCATTAAAAAAATAATTATATAAAAATGAAAAAATTTCCTAGTGAAGACAGTGGGAACTTAAACAATAAATAAAAAAAGTTTTTATATATTCCCATAGACTCAATGTAAACGGATATTTTTAATTTTTTCTTATAATTATGAAAAAGATTTCACACAAAGATTTTCCAGGGTA